GGAAGGCTTGTTAACTTCATTTGCGATCCCAATCCAAGGTACATGGTCCGGTCAACCATTACTGATGGTGCCAAACCAGCTATGTTTCGATCTGCTCAAACCGGAAAGCAAAAAGGTTGTCTTCAGACCGGATGCCGAACACCTCATGTGGTCGTAGTTCAATTCCCCTCCACCAAAAGCCGTAATCGAGCAGGGTCTACAAGTTCTGCTTGCCTGAACCATCCGTTTCCAGAAGGTCATTGGTCAAATCGATAGACGGTGGACATAAGAGATCAAGTCAAAAAACTTCTTCTGCGACCTCCTGTCCTGTGCGTCTTCACCTGCGGATTCACCATCACAATCATTCGACCTTGTTCGTGCCTATACGCTGAAGTAGCTCAAGAGCAAGCCTTGGCCAGCTTCCATGGCTTTTCCGCTCGCTCCCTTTCTTCTTGCACCATATCTTGAGATCAGTGAGATCAGCCTGAGATCCTTTGTCACTGCGATCATGTCCTCCCAAGATCCCCTCTCCTTTCCTTAGACCTTCGCGTGTTCCTGCTGAGAACTGCCTCCATTCTGATCTGCACTTCAAACTCCCCATGTGGAAAGTCGGGGATTCCACATCTCGTCTCCTCGGTTTCTTCGCTTCTGAGGTAAAGTGATGGCAACATGAACCCAACGAAATGAATAGGGTCCAATAGTATCTTCCTGAATCTGAATGCGACTCAAGACTCCGACCGATGGGTGCTTAAAGAAGTTTCAGAAAAGTCCAGGGCTGTTGAACCCCCTTGCTGTACAGAAGCATGTTCACCCTTCCTCAATCAATTACTGTACGCCTAGGGCCTTATGACTGCTTCAGATGCAAAGAACTGTTCCAAGTATCATGAACTGACCAAAAATCATTCTGGTCCTGTCTGTCTTGTCTGTATGTGGATCAACTGCTTCTTCCTGTCGAAAGCAGGTAGCGAGGACCTCATCCCCCTCAGGCGAGGACAGGTGGAGAGGGACCACCAATGCCATCAGCGTCTCTGTAGTCCACAGGTTATTAGTTGGTGAATCTGCTGGGTGAATCATGGCAAAAACACATCAACATGAACAAAATGAGATTGGATCTCCTCAAATCTCCTCTGCATGAATTGAGACATGTCTTGATTCTCTCTCACCGATGAGATCCTGATGAGATCCATCAGCTGAACATGGCCTCTTTGATGCTATCGTTTTCAATTTGCTCATGGCCAGAACAATATACCTGGAGGCTTCATGGAGGTCGATGACTTGCCTTCCGGATTGTCTGGAAGATCTTAAGCTTGAAAACGCTGCAGAGATGGCCAATGGGTGTCTGTGGGTCATGTCATACGGGTCGACTCGGGTCGACTCTGTTGGTTTCTTCCTTCCGTTCAGCACCGTCTGATTAGTACCCATTCCGTCTGATTCCACTGGGTTGGACTTGCAACTGACGTGTCAAAAGTCATACAGTTCCCCAAGTCAGGAAGTTTTCCTGGACAGTTTCTATTCCACACAAACACACAGCCAATGTCCAATCCAACGGAAAGCATTGCAAGCATCGGATTAAAATGGATGAACATGTCTAAAAAGTACCAACATGGCTTCCAATCAGATTACCAACAAGTAATTGGGTGAATTCCACTGAGTGACACAAACATCTGGTCTGACTGGGATGGTTGGTCTGGACCACTACGCCGAACAACCAGCGCACGAAGCTAAAACAGGATCAAGCATTCTATTGTAGGTTCCATTTAAAACGATCAATCAACAAATTCACCAAGAGTTTCAACAGGGGGTGGCCTTCCGACCTGTTTCTTTATGGCAGGTCGGAGCACCCCTGTCGAAGGGGTTTCACTCGGATTTCGCGTACAGTTATCTACATAACGAAATACCCGATGAAGGTAACTATACTAAAGTCAAGTTACTACTACCGCTTTTGTTTGTTCTTTCACTATTCTTCAGCTCTATATATTTACCCCATTTAACCCCAATAGTTACCTGCATTTACCCACCATTTACACCGCTGTTCTGCACCGATGGTGAAACACCCAGACCGCCCATCCGGAGTCTCCACCGCGGTCCGGAGTCTCCATCGTGGGCTTTCACCCCCCCCCCACTGTGGGAACTGTCCGATGAACACAAAACGGCGATGGTGATGGAAGTGGCAGTGCTGGTTTCCGTGGACGGGAAGTGGTTTCCGTGGGCTGACTGGTCCTGTTTCCATCGCCACAGGGGCGATAACACCGCTTTCAGGTTTAAAGGAACGTGCATGCATGGCAAAACCACATCTGAGCAAGAGCTGGTTTACTTGGCACAACTGGTTTGTCAAACACGCCAAAGGATCTCCAGTGAAAATATTCTTGACCAGTGCCGGGAATCAATCCTTGCTTCGTCTTTCGGGCCTCCACCTTGCCTCGCTACCTGCGATCTCTCCCTCTCAAGTCCCAAAAACTGGTTCTTTACTAAACATGGAGCAACCAAAGTTATATCCCAGTTCTTTGCCACCAAATGGTGCAATTTGAGCAGTTCTCAACAGGATGAGTCTCAACGAAGTAAAAACATGGAAACAGCAGTTGTCGGGGTTGTTGGATTTGTTGGGTTTGGGGTACATTGAAACTGCTGGGGCACTGGGGAACCAAGCATTCGACGTGTGGTTTGGGGTTTCCGTTTGGCTTGTCTTTTGGCTGATAGTTCCCTGCTTGAGCTGTGGCATCCGTGGAATGTGGCTGTCGTAGCCGAAGCGGCTTCAGTCGCTTCTTTCAAACCCAGACCATCCATTTACCCTATGAAAATGACCCTCATGTTACCCCATTCATGACCCATCATGACAAATCCATGTAGGATCATGTAGGTCACTATTCCCTACGTGGATGGTCTGGAACCCTGAAAGTCAAGCCAAGCCTTGGAAAGGCATCTGCCCCTGTCGCTTTAGCTCAGAACAAGGCATCCCTTAGTGCTCGATTAACAACAAACGGAAAGAAGTCTCTTCAAACCGTGTTTTCACCTATTTGTTCACCTTGGTTTTGGCCTTGCTTTGATCCAAACAAACAGTTATCTAAGCGATCTCCTCTTTCACCAGGCAGCTGGCACATGCCCCAGATTCATGATGCGTTTCTATCCTGGACATGGTTTTTGGATCTTCTGGGACATCCTGGTGCGGCACGAATTATGCCCACACACCGACTCCCCAACCGAGTCAGTGCGGAGAGCCATCTGCACAGCGTGGCTTCGAACGCATCTGCACATACATGGACCTACCAAGGGATGAGGTGAAGCTGTGAAGCTACTACTTTGCTGGACCAAATAGACATGTATGTGTGATATACCGTGTATATATATACATACATAGAATGAGATAAACAAACATGTTTTTAAACCTCTTCAATTTACTGTACCTCATGCTATGTCCAAACCACTGGCTATGAACTAGTGGAGTCCAAACAACTTCCTCAGATGGATCGAGCATGGTCTTTGGAACGTGCCCGTCCTATTGTTTCAACTGGTTTCTTATAAAAAGGGCTTGGGAGTATCCCACCTACACTTGGAACTATCCCTGACCTAATCAAGTGGATGGCACCACCACCCTGTTTGGTAATTCGCATCGTCTTCCTAAAGGCTTTCTACTTCCATCACTTAGTGTCGGAGAAAACTTTCAAACGAAAGGCGTATGGCGTGTCAGCAAGCGTGTGGCGTGTCAGCCATTCGATATCTGCAAAAGGGATGATGATGCTATACAGTACCTACTGGGTACCTCGCAGAAGATCACAGAAATCATGTCTATTCATGCTGTAGCTGCATTGACGGATGGATACTGCAGGCTGTTTCAACTTGGACGTCCCCAGCCACTCTGTGGTCAGGTGTCCCAAACGAAACTTTCCGTTGGCCATCATGGATCGACATGACATCGCTTTGTATTTACCATGTGGTCTTTTGTAAATTCTAGATTTCTACAGTAAGGTGGTGGGGCATTGTTGTCCATCTGCATCCATCTACCATGACCCACAAACTCCATCTACAGATCAGCTTGGGACTTCGACTCATGCTTCTTGGCCCTTGAAACACCATGTCCTTCTTCCTGGCGCAGTCCTGAAACCTCATGTCGCCCTCAAAACCCGGCTCCGGAGGACTGGAAACACCCTTTTTTCTTTTCAGTAGTTCGTTTACAACAAAACCATGAATTCTGTACCCTTTGATAGATCATAAGATCTCATAAGTCCATCATCAAAGCAAACCAAACACCACACGTTATGCAATGGAGCAACCTCGTACGGCAGCAACCTCGGCCAGGCGACGCTGATGGAGCAACCTCGTTCGCCGACGCACGATCCCAATCGGTGGCCATTCAGTGAGGTCAACATCTTCCGATCTAAAACTCAACACCAGCTGCAGCTGGACGCTGGCCGCGGGAAGGGGCGGCGACCTCAGGTCTGCAGCTTCATCCACCTCAGGGGCATCACGAACAGGTGTAGCATCACCTCTTCTACGGATGAATGCTCTGGGTCCTCCATGTTTGTCTGCGGGGGGGTATTGGATTGCTGTTCCATGTTCACTTTCCTCAAGGGCTGAGACCCAACCTGGTCAAATCGGGAAGTAACAAACTTCAGCTTGTCAATCCACCGTCTTTCGCGGAATGAAGCAAGACCATCAGCGTGGAGCAATCCATAAAGATCCATAGAATTAAAATTATATTGCAAACACAAAATTTGTATTATATATATACACACATAGACTCTTGATTGATAGACCCCTCCGTATCAAAAGGTGTTTCACGCCATAAGAGGTTCTTCAATCAGAATGGGGGGGCTTTAACACGATCCGTGAGTCCACTTGAATTCATACTCAGCATCCACGTCTGGCGCCGCTTTTGGTCGCCAGTCGTTTGGTCTACAAAGGGCGCCCTTTGGACGGTCACGGCATGGATTCGTTCGAAGTGACACGAAGCTGCAAATGCTTCTACCACTTCTACATCGAGCTTCTCAAGGCTCAGTTTCGATGAGTTCCCTCAGTGGTTGGAACTAGTACTGCTGCTTGGGAACAAAGCCTTTGTTGATGGTGGAGACGATGTAGTTGGACGGATCTCGTAGGCTGTCCACTTTGCCCGACACGCTTTCCTTTGTTCGTTTCCGTTGAACTCGACGTACGAAGGACGAAACCACCGCAACTGGCCCCCCTGTGCTTTGTGGATGTAAGGACTTTTCAAGGTCTTGGGGGATTGTGGGTATTAGTCCACATTTCACCTCCCCCTCCCCCCGGTTTTCATGGTCAAAAGGGGTGGCAATGATATTAGTGGGTGTCCTTATCCTTCTGGAGTTGGCCTTGCGCTCGCATGTGTTCGTGCTGTGTGTACTCCAGCGCATGTGTTCGTGCCGCAGGAGGCGCAAAAAGAGCATGGTCGCGGTGTCACCACGCCCCCATTCAGGACCGTGTAGTATGTGGAATAGTCAATTACATTATGTCCTTTTATGTGATGTTCAATGGGAGTAAATCATATGTATGTTAACATGAAATACATGTAATTCTTCCCATCCGAACACTTCCTTCTCAGGCCTTCACCACTTCACCGGTCCAGCCCACTCACTCCCCAGTCCTCTCCACCGGTCCGTGCCGCTCCCGGCAGCGCCGCTCCGAGGCGCGAGCAGCTCCGAGGCGTGCATCGTGGGGATCCCCAGCACCGCGCGGATCGCGTCCTCCGAGAGGATGAGCCCCACGCCCTCCGCCTGTCTCGGACGGACGGACGGACGTCTCCGGTCGGAGAACGTGGGAGGTTCGGGATGTGGGTTTGCGTCCTTTTTTTCTGTAAACAAAGCAACGTGTCATTCCTTTAACAACCTATAGACTGGGCGAATGGCAGCTAAATGATCGTTGAAGACTTTCACCCAATATCACCCACTTACGAGGCGTCAATATGTCACGCAGTGGGATTCTCAGAATTTCTCAGCGTGTCTTGGATGATGATGCCTTTAATGGTGTTTCGAACCCGCTGTCACTGGCAAATTCGTCTCTCTCATCCCGTCCCCAACCCCTGCTCAGCAGCGCCTTGGCCATGCCAGGGGTGCTCAGCAAAGCCTCTGCAGCCGTCTCCTCCTCCTGCGCCGTCAACTCCCGCTTCTCCGGCGGCGGCGGCGGGTTCACGTTCGCCGTGAAGCCGGGGGAAGGACCGCCGCTGTGGGCGTATTTGCAGTTGTCCTCGTACCTGAGCCGGATGAAGGGGACGGATTCCTTGACAGAATTGGCCCGCTGTCCAAAACTCACCATCTGAAATACTGTGCAAACAAAAGTATAGACTTGATGTGCAATATGAAAACAAAGCAAACGGATAGCAAACGGTTGTTTTGTTCTAGAATTGTGAATCAGCAGCCATCAAAGCTCAACGAGTTGCTTGCACCAGCCGTTCTTGCTCCAGAACTGGCATGGCTCGCCTTCCTTCTGTCCCGCAGGTCCGGGTCCACTTCCGGGTCCCCCCCAGCCATTGCCGCCGTAGTCGTCATAATATCCGGGTCCTCCAGGTCCTTTGCCACAGCCACCTTTGGGGCCGCAGCCACCTTTCGGACCACCACCTGCGCAGGTGCAACCCGCAAAGGGGAGCGGATTCGCCAAGTGCCAAGTGCAGATTTCAGTGACCCCGTTGCCAAGGAAAGCATGGATGGACAGGTTGCCCGCAGGAACTGACAGAAAAATCCCTCATTCCTTTGTTTCCTTTCATTTCTGGTCCGACTGCCAAGGCTGGTGGACTTCATGGATGCCTATAGGCTTCTTTTGGTGGACAGGAAATCCAAACCATCCACAAACAGTTGCTTTGGGGTCACTTTGGGGACATAAAATGTCATTAATAATTGGGGTAAATCTCATGAATGGTCTGGGAAATTGCTACACCGTCCAAAGTAAACCGCTGGCCACTAGGATCCACGAGCACTTGTGGATGAGAACCATAAGTCCCCCAATATCTTGGAAGGTGCTGAAGTATTCGTCTATGAGACGCGGGCACCTCTGGCGCCTCTGGCGTGCTTCGAAGGCCAAAAAAGACAGTTGCTGGAGTGGTGCCCAAGAACTCACAGCTGACAACTCACTGATATCCTGGCTTTCCCTCTATAGACTAAAACTGAACAATTGCAGTTCCGAAAACCTCGCAATGAGTCTGATACTTGTTTGCTCCCCCAACCTCACGTGCTCCCACCTGGTTCAAGAGTCTACCAGCATCTTATCCAGAACGGGGACCAAAATATGGACCATTCATGTATCTTTCAGCACCATCTGGGTCCAAGCCGCCCTTGGGTCCGCCCATAGGCCCACAGCCGCCCATAGGCCCACAGCCGCCCATGGGCCCACAGCCGCCCATGGGCCCACAGCCACCACAGCCGCTCATGGGTGTGTCAGGACCAGGAACCTGGGACGATGAGCAACGCTGCGCGACTTGATGTGCTGAACGCAGAATCTGTGTTCGACTCCCACTTGCCAAAATTGGGAAACATTGATGAACATCTCCTGAATTTGGAGGTGTCTGGCGGGAACCAAAAATTATCAAAAATGCATGTTTGTACGGTAAGGGCCCATACTAATCTGGGTGCTTTGACAGTGCTTTGGATACCGCTGTGCCTCTCTGTGTGTGGATGCTTTTATTACTGTAGATGTATCTGTATCATTTTGTATCATGATACATCTGTTTCCGAAAAAAATAAAAATCTATTCAAAACATTCCAATCGTCCCTCCAATCGAATCCAGCACCGCCACCACCGCCACCACAATCATGCCACGGATCCGCACCCTCCACCCTCCACCCTGCGACGCATGCAGTTCGACGAGCGGCGTGCTGATACCTGCAGTTCTCGCCATATTGGCACCAGCCAGCCTTGGAAAAGAACTTACAGGGTTCGCTGGGCGAGGGGTCGCTCAAGCCCGCGATGTGCTCGTGCCGGCAGGAGTCGCCTCAGGAGACGAGGAAGCCGGAGCGCTACTTACAGCGTGACTTAAGAGTGGCTACTTACGTCTCAGGGGACTGCTGAAAACCCAAGTTGTTGGCAAAACTCAGTGGTCGATGCCTGTCATTGACACTGTCCACGTGGTCCACAATGTCGGTCTATCTTCTCCGCTGACGGTGGTCTGTTTTTGGAGCGTACTTTAGACGTACGTATAAACACAGGATACATAGGACGCTCTTTCTTTCGGACGCCCCGAAAAAGAACTGCCATCGTCGAGGACGTGACTGTGATCGGGGACACACGACACGCTCCACAAGACACACAACACGCTCCATGAGGTGGAAAGTGGACTGAGAAATTGGACTCACCTAGAATTGAAGCATATTGAAGCAGTTGTTTTTTTCACATGTCTTGCTTTGAGTGGTAGAAACTGATGTTGGTGAACCAAAGCGATCTCATGTCGCTGGCAGCAAATGTCTGGCTTACTGATCACCCCAAGTTTTCATCCTTGGGTCATGAGGAGAGGTGGTAGGTCTCTTGACATAGCTCTCAGAGAGCCCACCTGTCAAACAGGTCTCTCCCTAGATATGTATTGACGTCGCATCATGAAGAGGGGGTGAGCTACCACTTCACCCGGAGGTCATGTGGAGAGGTGGAAACTTGAGACTATAAAATGGTATGGAATTGCCATTGTGACACATGTTGGAAACGTTTCTGTTCATTTGTTTAGTTCCTTTCTCCCTAGGCTGATTCCTGTCTATTGGACTTCCTTTAAAAGCTGTACCGTACCAGCATATTTTATGAGGGAACTTTCCAAATAAACATTGTTTTATGGAACCATGTAAGGTTCCAACTCTACCACTGAGGTTCCGATGCGTTCTACTTGTTTCCGGTGTCCTACACCAGTCTTTAGTATTAAGTTTTTTGAGCTTACCCCTTTCATCAACAGTCTTTATCAAAACAATCAGCATATTGCCCAACATAATTGTCTCATGCATATTATGTATTTATATTTATATTTATCTTTATACTTATGTAATGTAATATATATACATATATATGATTTTTGTAATGTAATGTAATATATTTATATATTATAGATTCATTTCGTTCAGGAGGTGCCACCCTTCCATAAGAGTATCGGACGAACCACTGCATCAGGATCTTATTGACTTTACTATGATTGTTACATATTGTTACTATTTATCTTGGACTCTGGATCCTTTTGTTCAGCACCGGATTTCAGTATTGACAATCCTGCAGTTGTTCAAGGGGAGGGAGGACCCTCTTGACCAATCAAGATCCAACATGACTCATCTTCAACCACCCCAAGCCCATACCCCAACTGGGGAACTTCAGTGATGCATGTTCGCAAAATCTGTGCAAAGACCAAAGCCAATTCAGTCAAGACTCCATACCGACACCATCCACTCTTTGCGAAGAACTGACAAACTTCACCTGTCTTGGGACCGATGGGCCCGCTGTTGCTGGGAGTGTCTGGTCCCGCCACATGCGCGTGGCGACAGCCCTCACCCCACTTGCACCAGCCAGACTTGGAGAAGAACTGACAGACCTGTCCTGAAGGCAGCAGGTTTGAACTAAAGCTGACTTACGGGAAGTTACCTTCTGAGGTTGGAGACGTTTTTGTGATTCACTGGATGTGGCAATGCCCCTCTTCTCAAACAAGCTGACTCCAAGTCACACTTCTCCAACAATACCAACTTCAATCTTAGCAAATGGACCACCCTGAGTTGGGGCATTATCTCACTGCCTGATGGAACCTAATTACTCTGTTCACTTTGTCTGCTACTGCTGATGATCCTAATCATGCCTCATCCACTTCAACTACAGCTGAGAACAGAGGATTCCTCATGCGACCCGGTCTGACCGTCCGACCACCGTCGAAACAGGTCTGAAACGAACACATCCTCCTTGGTGAAAAACAAGATTCACACCTGGGATCTGGCTGGGATCTAATTTTGACTGCAATCTGATTGCTGAAGACTGCTGGGAGGGCCATGCTGGTAGATGTCTGGCACAGCACTAGGCCTGGCCATGGGAGACACAACCCCCTGGCCCTGGCCGGCAAAAACAAACCAAGGGGGCCGGGCGACCCACACCATAGACTCTGGTCAAATGATCAAATTCTGTGTGGGGACTTCCCCTTCTAATTCGTTTCCCACCAGGGTCAGGCCACTCGCTTTTATGCTGACATCTGACAACCATCCATTAGCCATCCTTCCGAACTGGGGCCAATGTCCGCAGTGTTTTCACACATCGGATTTGGAACACTCGCTTCGATGAAACAGGCGTGCATTAAAGGACACCATGACAAACCATGTACCGTCCAACCACCATGTAGGACCTACCCTTCAATGCCATCTGCCCTCCCATCTCCAGCTCCTGAAGGTCCACCAGGTCCAGGGGGTCCGGGCCCCCCCGGCGGAGGTCCCGGCCGTGGGTTGGCGCCCTCCATGTCCGGCGGCCCATAGGGCGACGGTCGGCCCATGGGCCCCGAACTGTCCAACGGACCGAAGGACATCGGCGGCGCGGACGGCGGGCCCGGAGGCCCCGTCCGGGTCCGGTGCCGACCGGTCCGGAGTAGAGCTGACCAACGGCCGAGTGGACGGATCAACGGAGCGAAAGGGTTCAAGAGAAGCACTTCAGAGAACGCGTGAAGTCCAATGAGAGTCTGGCAGGACCTATTCTGCAGTGAAAACACGGTTCTCTTTCCTGGCCCCACATTCGTCAGAACCATAGACACTTCTTGCAATCAAGAAACATTACAAACAACTGCACAAACCTGGGCGCCCCGTACTGCAGCAGCAGCTTGGCAGCCTTAAAGGCCACATTGCCATGCACCTTGCGCGGGTCAGCTTAAAGGATGTTAAAGGCAGGGGCACGAAATAGTTCCAGTGAATGCCAGCAGGACCATTTCCAATTTAGGAGAACAGCAAGGCGTTACTCTCAGTGCTGAACGATGGCTACCCACGCTCAGTGCCAAATCTATTTGTGATTCCGTTTCCCAAAGACTCCATGTATGCTACCACACCACCCACTTCGCATCTGTGCCTCCCGCCGCCACCATGCACGATTCAGCTCCGTCAGCAGCCTGGGCGACAGGACACAGTGGAAGCGGTTCGAAACGGGTGCTACGCGATGAATAAATTGGGCACCCAATGAAAACTCCTACGAGCGGCCGCCGCTAAGTCGCATCTGAAAGTTGCATCACTGCATGGCCATAGCTGATTGATACGACTCCTGGTGATAAGATATGACTTAAGGCAAGTGCCCAGTACTAGTACCCAGGTTGCTATTAGATTTAATATTAGGTTGCCATCTGTTACCACAGTCCATCGGTAAGGCGAGCATGTTGATGGGTTCTGATAGAAACGTTGCAACCCCCCCCCCTGCCTGTCACTTCCCCTGCTCATGGTCGTTGCAGTACAAACTTATTACACGCCATCATCATCACCATCATCATCATCATCATCATCATCAAAACCATAGAAGCAAAATAAAACAAGCCACGAAGCGACCAGCCACCAACAGTCTTGAACAACCAATCAAGAAGCAACCAACAAACACCAACCATAACCATGCACCTACCACTTATCACCCACCAATAACAGATTACAATATTAGCATCAATGACATCTACCTAATTACCTAATCTTGGATTTCCGCGGACAATAGAAGCAACACATACTCCACGCAAACAGGATACACATAATGCAACAACAACATGTCGTGTTTCTACAGGACAGCATTCGACCAATCAGCAAAACCAAAACAGATCCGAAGGCCAACAAAACCAATCCCTCCAAAAGCACTCATGGTTGGTATATAGCTTCAACATGTTTTAACTCACTTGAACAAAGGTGTCAGTGGGATCAATATGGATCAATTATCCCATGTCAAGATTGAACAATGTTGAGCATCAACAGGTTTCAGAGTAGATGGCACCATGTCTCAGCACACTCCCCCCAAGTTCGGTGTATTATGGACCCCATCTAAATCTCCATCTAAACATCCTCTTAGGGGTCTTGGGGCGCCATCTGTTCTGAAACCAGACCCACCCCCACCGCTCCTGCGACGCTCTTTGGGCGCGATCCTGCGACGTGGGCGACGCGATTTCGACTCGACTCGAGGATCGGCGATCGCGGATCGGACACAAAGACCAGGAAAAGGTAGATATAAATATGATATATAGGTCTTCCATACTGTATAGGAATAGGTTTTTAATATGTTCCTTCCTATTCGCAGTTCCATACTATAGGAATGGTCAATGTCAATCGGAAGGTCAATTTCACCATCCCCCAAAGCATGCAGGTTGATGTTTTTGCCATCGGATGTCCTTCAGCTGTGACCCTCCAAATGGTACCTTCAGAGACCATCCAAAGGTACAAAACATGGACCATCCTCAACCTGTCAAAAAAAACGTGGATGGTTTGCTGATGAAAGAAGCGGCCTCAGAACCGAAACCGAAACCTTTGGTCAGGTTTTCGCACGAACAGGCAACGATCTGAATGAATGGAATGGTACCAAGCAATCGGGAGTCGCGACTATAGGGACGCTTCAGGAACGAGTTGGTGGCTTGGATGCTTTGCCTGCAAACCGTCCATTTTGGTGTGACTGGTAGAAAACTCTGCAGCTTTGGAGGGTCTACATATAATACATATCACAAGTATTATAGTACTATGGTGGATTGAGAGTAGATGGCCCAATCCCCAAAAGGTCGTCTATACACACGAACCCCATCTAATAGACATCATGAGGGCCCAGCTGTGCCACTCTTCACCTCGCCCGAACCACTCCGAGCCGGACCGGACCGCGCCCGGCGCTTTGGACCCACGCCTCCCCTGTTGCTCCAGCGTCTCAAGTTCCAGTAAGGTGGCCAGGGCCTCGGCTCGGCCGGGACGGACATGGGTCGGTGGGTCAAAGGCATGGGGTGGGTTCAGTAACACGACCGAGCCAATCAAAAGGTTGCATGTGTCTGCGATAAATACATGATAATACATTGTGCTGCGTTCGGAATGCTTAATCTAGCTTCTTCCTCATGTTGACTGTTTAAAGACACAAGAGATTCCAAAGACCGCATGGTCCCAATTCCCTCCTCTCCAAAAAGGCTTGCAGGAAAAACCAGAAAACATCACCAATCACCCACCGGACACCTTTTTCAGACGCAAAGACTCTGCTTGGACCACCCGTTGGGTCGGTGCCTTGGGGTGATCCGCCATGGCCGCCAGGCGGATCGCCTCGATCGCCGTGTGGTCGACCGGTGGGTTCGTTGGATGCACATGGGATCGAAGGGCGAATGACGAACATCGCCAAAGATGGAGCCAGTGTGGCTTCTTTTCCACGCATGTGACCTGAACAAATAACTGGAGCATGGTGCCAAGGTGATCAGGTGCCACGAGTGATCATGAGTGATCATTGGATCTAATTGTCTTTAAAGAAAAAACACCAATGTACGAGAATGGTCTAAGTGCCCTTAAGATATGTATGGCTGGGTCATGCTTCAGCCATCCTTTCAGGCCCAAACACTGGCTGAGACTGTTTTTACTCCAGCTGATTGCCCAATTTCAGAGTGGTACAGACCCCAAGATATCCTTTAGATGGGGCCGGGGTCCATATGAACCAAACTTGGGGGGCCCAGACGTACCTTCGAACCTCCGAAAAATCCGAAACGAGATGAGACGCCAGTGATGAAGCTCCGCGACGCGGTGACGCGTCGGTGACGCCTGCAAGTCAAAGCGAAGCTCCTGGCCACGGTGGAAATCTGCGGCGTCCATCCGCGAAACAGGCGAAAAACAAATATATAGATTTTAAAAACCTGAATCATACTTGGTGGAGAGGCCACCACTGGAAGTGGGATGTGTAATTCTTGGCGTGAATGGTCCAGCCATCCACGTGAAAAAAGTCACCATGCTCAAGACGGTGTTGTCCTCGGTCACCCTCCCAATGTTCCATGCTCCAGCAGCTCCCTTTCAACGAGAGAAATCAAGGAGGGACAACGCGAGTCTTCAGTCAGCACGGAGGCAAGGTTTAAAGGAAAGAAACACGGAGGCCAGCTTCCACGACCTCTGCAGCCCCGAAGTTTCACACGAATTCTCCATCTGAGATCGCCCAAACCATGAACATGTAGTTAGCTACTGCACTTCATGGATTGTCTGGGATAGATCTCCGCAGCTACTGATTTGACCTGGGGAACTGCCATAAAATGCTGCGGATTCCGCGGTGATGGGCTGCGCTTCCAGGAGTTCCTCTGCCTGATCTGGGAGCTGCATGGCCGGCCGACATACCGAATGTCCGAAAACATCGCCGGGAAACCCCCGGATGTGTTTTTTTTTTAGTCCGATGAGGCTGATAGATCCAACGTATATGAACATCAAATGTTCATGTTAGACTCTTGCTTAATAACCCCTCCCCGTATGAAGAGGCCGTTCCACAATGGAGGTGGGGGGTCATTCATCAAGAGTCTACAGCTTTTGGGGAGACCCCATCGCCACAGTCACCGGAGTCTTCCAAACGAGCGACACCAGGCGACACCGAACCGAAGACCGACCCTTTTTGGCAACACGTCACGACGACCCACGCGGACGTGTCGATTCCTCAATCTTCTCTGCGTCGTCGACGTCTTCCGCTTCGCCTTCGCCTTCGGCTTCGCCTTCGGACCTGGTGAGGTGCAAAGCCTGCAACATCTCATAAGCTGGGAAACTCCCATGCATTCTTCATCTCTCTCTCTCTCTCTTATACAGAAACATCTACATTTTTTCTGTCACATCGTCTATACAATTCTGAAGATATCTACATACGTTTCATATGTATTGCCTTTCACCATGACTCTCACGGTCAACTTCCCAACGCATGCTCCCCTGACCCTCGCGTCGCCCATCCAGGGGCTCCGGGCGGCTCACGGGTGGCGAGCGCGGAGGGCTCGAGGTGGAGGTGCTTGAAGAGCTGAAAGGGCGGCTCAAGGGAGGTTTGATGTCCGACCTTGAGAATTATTGTTATATATAGAGCTCTTGATCTATAAAACCCCGATCGTAAAACCCATTCGTGTGGGTGGATATTCATGAATGAGTCAAAGCAACCAATGAAACAAGGCCATGCATGGCTCAGGAAGGCTTCAAAACTAGGCACAAAGTAGGATTCCTTCCACCCAACCAACAATAAAGGACCACTTCGACTGGAAAAATAGTCAGAGCACTGATCCATGACGGTCTTTGCACCAAACAAACACATGTTCATTGATGCCGCCGAACTGAATCCTTCTTGTTGGAAACAAAATACAATATAACAAACTGTAGGGATCCACGTAGCTTCTGAGAAGGTGACTGAAGACTATTTATTAAGTAGGCTTGCAGGGTCCAGTCGTACCTTCTGAGAAGGTACAACAGGATCCATGTAGGGAAGCGTCAAACAACTCCACTCTTGGTGACTCCAGCCCTCGGCGCCGAAGGACGCGCCATCCATCGCAACGAAGGACGCGCCGCGTGGCCTGGAGGAAGAGCTGGTCGAAGAGCTGGACACCACGCAACACGGTTTCCTGGGGCGCCAGGTGGATGGTGATCGGATGGGTTGGTCATCGGATGGGATGGACTAAAACAAGATGTTTACGTCGGTTACGTCGGTTGCATATACCTTTCAACTCTCCAAATCACAACAAAGGGGAGTCTTTGCGGGCAAGCTCTTAGTCACACTTCCTTTACCGGGCTCTTCCCGATCAGCTTGTCTCTAAAGGAGACCATCACGATGGTGGCCGGTCCAAGCGGCAGGCAGGAGGATTGTGAACACAAACGAAAAACATCCGAATATGTCCGTTCGCACAAAATACTTCCATGTACTTGATGCACTTGTGTGATGACATTGAAACAATACATGTCAACAGCTATGTGGATCTTGGTGTGAGCATTTTTACGACGCTTGTCCATTCTTTTTACCACGCAAAAACACGATGCTTGACGATGCTTGACGATGTGGACACCCCACCAACGACGACCCCAATGGCAAGGCTCGGCCTCAACGGCACGGCACGGCCCGTTACGACCGGACAAGCAAGGTTGGCTCAACGGTTGCGACGTGACGGAGACTCAACGAGTGGTTTGTTATCTGGTGTTTTTTGGAGGAGAGTTGTGATGACATGAAAGGACTTGGCGTTTCACCTTGATTGTAGCAGCGGTGCACATGGAAAAAACTCACCGATGGACCGATTACATGTAGCTGGGGTGATTGCTTTGCCCGAGGATTTGGGAGGGAAAAAATGATGTTCACGTGGCCATGGTGGCAATGTGGCAAATGGCCATGGATGTCCCCCAACAAGCCACGTGAATTAGGATCCTAGTTTGACCTTGGCGGTGACCTTACAAATCAATCTCTAAATGTTCTCCGAGCTACTCATGGCTGCTCACAGTTTGTCGGCTAACCATTCCAAACAGACTTGCATATTAGCCACGGACTAGGTTGGTTGTCCGTATACAGTAATTACATGTATAGAACTTCGGTAAGAATATTTAAGAGTCTGGTTAGGTCCTGTCTTAAAAGGGATACCTGTCTCTCTCTCTCTCTACACATATATATATATACACTTTCCCGAATTTGTTCTAATTCCTGGACAGTGGTCTAAAAAGTTGCTTAAAACAACTCCCCGCACCTCCCTTGCCAACGGAGAAGCTTTTGGAGCTTTGGCCGCTCCACAGCAGCTTCTTTGGAGGCTCTTCTTTGCGGCGTCGGTACACGCCTCCATTGGCGTCCCCGTCCGTGGAGCCAGGTTTAAGGCTGACATGGTACGAACTCCACAATGCTGGCATACTGCGCATTTCGAATTGCTCGAAGTAGCATGCCTAATGTAGACCTCTTAAATATCTAACACCTTTTCAGAATGCAGATGAGATGGTTTTAGTATGTTTTATATTGTTTTTATTAGTTTGCAAGCCTACAGTATGATCCTCTTCATGACAATCCCCCCCCCCCGTCGCCTCTCCTCCTCGCGGACGGAGCCCGCGCCTCGCCGAGGCCGTCGACGGCGCACGCGGCGTCCTGGGGGTCGCTGCCGCCGTTCATCTGTCAACCACAGCCGTACAACCAAGCAGGATTGCAGGATTGCAGATGTACAAAACCGTTGTGTTTTGTTATGTTACATAACAGATCAGAACAGGTTTCACCTGTAGATAGTACAAATTCATACAAACATTCTCAAACTCTGTTGAACAAAAAGAAGGTCGTCCCACCTGTATTGGTGAACAATACACGCTTTCCCGTGCCATTGGGGTCCTTTTTCATGGGTTCTTCTCAAGTGCTTTGTTAGTCTACTCCTATAGGCCCTCATAAGTATTTCATCCAACACCAGCCAGTGTGACTTGGTACTGCTAAACAGCAGCTCAGCTTTATGAAGAAAACAGCAAATTTCTCGGCGGAAGAAACATGCAAACAACTGACTCCTTCCTCTCCTCCTTGAGAAATGAAGTCTTCTTCATCCGTGGATCTAAATTGATCAAAATGGCGCCATTGGACCCTTAGAAAGCCTTGCTGGGACATTGTCCCGTGGCATACACACGATTTCCATGGACCAGCGAAAAGCCTTCAGATGGAGGTTGGAAAACAAAGTATCATGCCAACGCGGCATATGATATGAATAAGGCAGGATAAATGTTTTTTCTTTTCCAACTTGGGTCGATTTTCAATCAGCCCTGTGGGCGCAATCTTCGCTTGGTGGCAAGCATGGCCAAGTCCAGTACAGCTTGTTGGAGCCAATGGCTCCAACGAACACGCGAGCACCAAAAGGAGGCGCTTCCATTCCAGCAAAGAGATATTACCAAGCTGGGTCTTGAGCAGTCGAAAGGTTTCATGGAAGGACTTGTCCAGCAGGTTTTTGAGGGTGCTTGTAGTCCTTGTCCTTCTGAATGCTTTCGTCCAAGCAAGACAAGCAGACTGCAGATTCTGCAAGTTGATCGCCTCCAAAGGTCACTTCTTCTCACGCTGCCTTCGTTTCCTTTCAGCCTTCGTTTCGGCGAAATTTGTGTGCTCTCGAATGTCGCGAAATCACCGGTGCTTAAAGTCCACCGTTGCCTTCGCTTCCGTCTGGGACCCCGTCCGCAGTCTTTCTTGGAGCGCCAAGCCCGGCCCGATGTCCGTGGTGCACGCGTGGCCCGTGGCGCGCTTTCGATTCAGCACTGGTGCTGGTTCCACATACTGGTCTATGCCTGGCTTGTCCATACTGCCAGCTTCAGATGCTCAGGGAGAATGCATGAGCAGCACGAGACAGGTCCAAAAGCATTTCAGAATTAGAGGGTCTTGCCAAACCCAAACCTGGTTTTAGTTTCTTTTTATAGCATGTATAGTCGGCTGCAGTTGCATGTAGAGTATAATACTATTAGCATAGTAAGTTGCATGATGTCGGGGTGGTGGCAGTAGGGGCGGATGAACCATTCATTCCACCCTTTTCTCTGTCCAAGCAGAATCGCCTTGATCTGTCAGCCTTGGCCTTGGCCTCCGCCTGTCTCTTCGGCTTCTGCCTGTCGCCAGTGCAGCTGTGTCAGCACCGTCTTCTTTTCTTCCAGAACATTGTGGAAGTCTGAACCCATATGCATGAGGATCTGCTAACAGATTGTGAGCTTCTTCCCCCCCGAAAATGACACATAAATTGACACGCGCATCGTACGTGGCAAACTCCTTTCCCATCGAGTCTTGTCCGGTGATCTGGGAAACGCCCACTGAATGGATCCCGCGTTGTGTACCGAAAAGCACCCTTTGGCCAGTCAGGGGGCGTCGGCAAGGGGTTCCATGACGGATCTGTGCAACCTCTGAAATCATCCCCGTGACCGAGGACCACCACGAAAAACGCTTGGTCTGCCCAGGATCCGACGAAACCGATATTCCTTTGAAGAAACTCATCGCTATACGGAGACTTGATCACATCCTGATGATTATAACAATAGAACCGTGTTGAGTGTGACATCCCATCACCTCCCCGAGTAAATTCTACCAAAGAACACGGAGCAACGTCTCGTCGGCCACGTCTTTCCCCCACGTCTTCTCCGCGGAGTCGCGCGTCCCACGGGCGGCGTCGGAGGCTTAGTACTGGGTCTGCTCAGGCGGTGCAGCGTCGATGAAGTGAGATTTGGCATTGTTGGAAGGAAAGAGTGTGCAAAGTACTGGGTAGGTCCTCTTCTTCCAAGCTTTGATCGTAGAAACGACCCAGAAGCAATGTGTGCAATCCACTTGGCAATTCCACCCCTGAAAAGCTCTGGTTGAAATCAAGGCCGAAGGTCAAGGACTGCAAACCCCTTGGAAAAACGACACCAGCCAAGCTTTGACTGAACCCAGTGCCAAAAACTAACGTCTTCAAGGAGCTTGGCAGCTTGAAACCTGCTAAGCTTTGATCGAAGGAATCGCCAAAAGTCAATGTGTGCAGGCTGCTGGGCAACTGGACACCTACCAAGCTCTGGTTGAAGGCCCAGTCAAAGGTCAAGGTCTGCAAACTGCTTGGAAATTGGACGCCCTGCAAGCTCTGGTTAAATCGCAAACCAAAGGCTAAATGTTGCAAGCCACTTGGCAAACTGACACCTTCCAAACTTTTGTTATACCATTCCCCAAAGTTCAAAGTCTGCAAGTGCTTCGGCAGGTTGACATCTTCCAAACTCTGATCGAATTGCCGCCCGAAGGTCAAAGTGTGCAAACTACTTGGCAACATGACCCCTGCTAAGCTCTCGTTGAATAGATCGCCAAAGACCAACATAGTCAAGCTGCTCGGCAATGTGACAGCAACCAAGCTCTGCACGCTATGAAGATTCAAGGGTAGACTCTCTGGCCCTGGCCCACTTTCCAAGTGTTGGTCAACATGTTGAACATAGGGACTCTTGGGACTCAAGGACAAACAACACAAGTTCTTTGGCAGATTCACCAGGCTCTGGTTGAACTTTGCTCCCAAAGACAATCGCTCCAAACTGGCTGGCAGACTGACACCTTCCAAGCTTTTGTTGAAGCCATCGCCGAAGGTCAAGAACTGCAAACAATTTGGTAAAGTGATACCTTTCAAGCTCTGATTAAAGTGATAGCCAAATGTCAAAGTCTGCAAGCTGTTTGGTAGGTTGACCCCCTCCAAGCTATGATTGAAACACCCGCCAAAGATCAAAGTTTGTAGGCTGGTTAGCAGGTTGACATCGTTCAGACTTTGATTAAATAGTCCACCGAAGGACAAAACTTGCAAGCAGGTTGGCAGTTTGATACCTTGCAATCTCTGGTTGAAATAAAAACCAAAGTTTAAGGCGACCAAACTGTCTGGCAGGTTGACACCTTCCAATCTCTGGTTGAAATCAAAGCCAAAGGTCAATGATTGCAAATTGCTGGGCAAGGTGACACCTTCCAAGCTCTGGTCAAAGCAATGGCCGAAGGTCAAATTCTCCAGGGTATCCGGCCACGTGACCTGTTCCAAACTTTGGTTGAAGTCATCGCCAAAAGTCAGAGTCTTTAAGCTGCCAAGCAAAGGGATGGCTGTCAAACTCATCATGGAATTCCAGTTGAAGGTTAATGAGGCAATGGCCTCTATGGCTTTCAAGTCCACCCGCCGCACTTCGCCCTGAGAACAGCATCCGTTTTGGTTTGCGATCAAAGCGTCGACGGTGCGGCACAAACTCTGGACAGCCTGAGCACTGCGGATGATCTGAAGCAGGTATGTGACTTCATCCGAGTAGACCTGCTGCAGGAGTGGCTTGCTGTCATCAAGCACTGTCCCACCGGAGGTAAGCACAAGCATCTGACCAGCCCCTGATTTGAGGCCAACTTCAGTGGCAATGCGCGCATATAGATCATCAACCTTGGTATGTCGACTCATAATCCTTTGCGCACACATCAGTCCACGCATATTGTAATATATATATATATACACATGTCCTATTATGTCCTCCACTGAAATTTAAGTCCCCACTCTTGCTCGTCACGCTAAAGCTACTCTTGAAACAAAAACAGGAAGGAAAAAGCAATTCAAGTGATGTTTTTTGCTTGGTCAGTGCAAGTAGGTGGTCTTTCCTAGGCTAGGGACTTGAAGTTTCCTAGATACAAAGGACACAAACTAGAACAAATGCCTGTCCCGAGCCACAGTGGTCGCGCCATCAATAGTAAGTTCAAAAGTGGAGCCGTCGAGGCTCGAAATCTTTAGAGTGGACTCCATTGGCGAGTCGTTCAGACTGCAGCACCTGAGCAGAAATCATGAGGACCCACAAGCATCGACCAACACTGCTGGTCACGTCACTTTCCAATATCCCGAGATCCAACAAGACGGGGGCCCCTGCTGTGGTCCCTTTTCCGGAGAAGGTGGTTGGTAGGTGAACCCCACCCAAGCTCATAACAAATACATCGATCTACTCTACTTCGAGTGATCCCCACCCTGAAAGGCGAAGCCTGGAAGAAGGCGATCCCACATGTCATGACATACTAACCTGACAAGGGCGGACATGCAGATTGATCAAATGGTCTGGTATCAGGTCTTGTCTGTGCTCGAAGTAGAGTAATGGAGGTCTGGAGTGCCCACTGCGATCTGGAGCTGGCAGGTGCGAGGAGAGAAGGAGGAGGCATGGCGGGATCCTCTTCCAAAATCTAACAACCCTCATCTGAAAGGTGGGAAAAAATAGTTTAGAGTCGTGGTTAGAACCTATTCGTTGCGAAACAGAAGTCACTTCAAAATTCCAGGTCAGAATCTGTTGACGTGACCTTTGGCAACCAGCTTTCTCGTTGGCGACCGTTGACCGTAGCGGTCACCCCGAATCCGCCGGGTGGGACCGGGAGGAGGTGGAGAAAGACCTGATGTGTTTTCTTTAGAAAAAGCACAGAGTCCCAGTCTTTCTAGAGTCCCTTTAGTCCCTCTTCCACACAGTCTCAAAGGAAGTGATGGGATCTGAGTTAGAAGCTTTCCACAGAGTTTTTAGTCCGAGCCCCTTTTCCAATCTCCAAAGGCCAGGAACTTGTGACGTCAAACATGGCAGTAGGGCAAAACGGCAAAACCTAGATATAATCCCGACAAGAACGAAAAGGTGAAGACCGCAAAAATCCGTTGGACCAACATGCCTCCCAAACAACAGTTTCACCATGTTTGTGGGACTGTTTGGGTAGGAATCGATTTGATGAGTTTTCTTACCCAAATCCCAAATCGTTTCACGATGTCTCACTCCGCGAAAAGGCCCCAGCAGCGAAAGAAATAATCTCCACTGCTCATTGCCGTCATGGCGTCCGCGGATGGAAGAATGTCGTGCAGCACTTGAAGTGTGTCCAGATGGCTCCAATTACCATTTCATTAAAGTACTCAAGATGGTCTGTGAGAATGAGGCGATTTCCAATTATGTCCAATTCACGAGGTGTTCATTCATCTCCTTTTTGCCAAGATGTCAAACACAGAGAGCAAAGCTAACGCAGGATTCATCTGACATCTTTTTCTTCCCTTTATTGGACATGCTGGGTGAACTTTGATGGGACATGTGATATGTGGCTTGGCTTAATTATTTTTGACTGGGAGCCATACCAGAAAAGCATCAATCAAATCACAACTTTCTGTTGGTCAACCTAGCAAGCAGTCTTGTGAGCAAACGGGCAGAGACCGTTTCTATCTGTTCAGCCTCAGACCGGCGGCGGTTTGTTTTGCATCACTGAAGAAATTGATTGAGTTTCAAAGAAACCACCTTGACAAGTTGGAGTTTAAGGCCAAGGTGTTGGAGCACGGCCAAGTTGTGTTTTTTCTAGTCCTTACGACGGTTCCAGATCATACCGCGTGATACATCACATTCCTGTCCAATCCAATCCTAATCCTATGTTTCACTCCCTAAAAGGGAGAGGTTAAAGGCGGCTCTGGCTGGGTGGCTGGGCGAGTGCCGCACACGTCATCGGCCGTCCCCCCCGCTCGTCCACAGGGCCGTCTCCATGTCATGAGTGACAAAAATCTCTTGGAAAGACTTGCCTAGCAGACTGGTCTCGCTACCGTGATGAGGGATTATTACTCATTAATACCCTTCACACGATATACAACCGTTGTATAACACACGCACCAGGGATGACCATGGAACATCCCTGCAAAAAAATAAGAAACGTGGATCAAACAAAAAACAACTGGCAAACCCTGAAAAAAATATCTGAAAACCTCTTCCAAAAATCCCAAGCCCCAACAAATCGATCTATTTGCCGTCACCCTGTTTTTTTGTTTTTCGGATGCTCCAGGATTTCCGCAAAAAATGAACACCAAAAGCTCGCCTGGACGAAGTGAAACTCCTGGTCTTCGCCTTGGGCCTGGGGTCCACAGGCTTCCAGGATCCGGGAAAATTGATTGAACAAGTTTGAACATGCTTTGTGGCGAATGACATGCAAACGAAGTCAGTTCGGAAATTCTCTCCAATTTAAAAATTACAAGATTCCTGACACATGTGGCGATATAGAGAGAAGCAAACATCGTGCACTGGCTAACGCCACATGGCCACATATGATATAATGATGTCCATCGTACGAGTACTTTACTTCGAGTCACCCCCACCATGACACTTCAATCTGACAAATTTTCTGGCATGTATTGAAATGAAACATTATTTTGGCACTCTTTATGGCATATCAATATCTTCTGACATTCTTTCTGACACATTTCTTCTGACATATCTTCTGACATGGTTTCTGGCCCCTCTTCTGACATTCACTCTGGTGCACACCTTCTGACACTCTGTCTCACATTCTTTCTGGCGTATCTTCTGACATTCTTTCTGGCATATCTTCTGACACGCGGTTGAGGTCCGGCGGGGAACACTACCATCCGGAGCTAGGTCCGGCGGGGAACACTGCCATCCGGAGCTCGCGGTTGAGGTCCGGTGGGGAACACTGCCATCCTGCACTTGCGGTTGAGGTCCGGAGGAGGAGGAGTTGAAGGAGAAGGAGGACAGCAGCTGACAGGTGGGGAAACACTTGCAAGGCTCGTAAACCTTGATCTTTTCCTTGAACTCTTGGGGGCAAATCTGACCAGTCCCATCAGTATCTTTGTAACACTGATGACTCTCCATTTCACCGCGAATGGGGAGCATATATGGATGATATGTCGTGGGTGATTTCATGTGATTCCAGCGGCTTTGACTCTCCGTCTCATTGAACTTATAGAGGAACGCATGAGTAATGTCCAACTTTTCAGCCCTTCAACTTCAGAGCGTGAGTTGGAGTTCCTATGATGACCACTCTTGGTTTATGGCTCTCAGTTCAACCATTCTGGATGACGTTCGCATCGTGATTTCGTGGATGAAGTGTATCAGTGCTTCGATGTATGAGGTGGGTAGTGGTATAGGTCGTGGTTGGTGCTCTGACTTCGTATTTCTTGCAATTGCAATCCACAATGATCCAACAATGGCGACTGGTGGCACTGGATGGATGCCTCATTGATCACGCTTCTGAATGGTACTGGAGAGAGATTGGAACATGCGGGATGGGATTTCCTGGCTGTGGACGTTGCGGTATCAAATTATCTCTGTTATACTCTTTCTTTTGTGTTGATTCATGTTGCTTTCTCCTTGGTGTTTCTTTTAGATATGTCATGTTTCAAACTGTGGCTTTCTATTCAAACTAAGGCATGGATTTAGGGAAATGGACCGTGGTGACGCACCCCGTGTCGCACCTGCTATCTTCGGGATCGACGTTCCAATGGTGCTTGTGATGCTCAACCGGTGCCAAATACGGTCACTGAACACTGAACACACACGTGTCTCCAATCTTCGGCTCGTTCACACCACGTCTCTCCATGTTCCGAACCCCAATTCTCCGACCGACGTCATCGAGACTGAGCTTGAGACGCTTCCGTCCTCGTCGCCTTCGTCGTCGTTGCCTCGGGAGGTACGGGCCTGGCGGGACCGGCGGTGCCCCGTCCGGCGTGCGGAGTGTGGATGGAACCCCATGGGCAAGAAGAATCAAGAAGACCTGGGATTGGCTCATGTGTGACGAATGGGACTTTTTCTTGGTCAGAAAACCCACAGATTTCTGTAGATATCTCCGAGAAGATTTCAAAAAGAACTACTACATCTGGCCACAAAATACTGAAGCTTCGGGAGATATGAGTGGACCAAACCAGGGTCTGACAAATCTGGGATAGTTGTGCAAAAAAAAATCATCCTGCAGCAAGCATAACATATGCCACCTTACTACAAGTGGCCAGCATTAGAAAACAGCTTCAACCTTGACACTTACTTGTCATTCAAACCCATCAAAGTAAGTTTTTGGAGCCTCATAAAGTCAGTAGGAAAAAACAAACGCTCCATTGCCAACCAAAACGCTCCGAACGCCAAGTGAACTTAGGTCGGCCCACCGAAGATCGCAGCAGACTGCGCAGGTCTGTGACTCACCAATTCCTTCGGCGCCAGTTTGTTTTTGGCGAGTTTTTGTGCCCAACTGCGAGTTTTCTGGTTTGGGAGGTTTCTCAGTGGTTTCTCACCCGGTTTCCAACAACCCTCCACTCACCCATCGCTTGGGAACGATGGGCGCCTTTTCTCGGTCTCCTTCGGTGAAGTCGGTCTCGTTCGGTGCAGTGGATCAGGGGCTAAAGTGGCCTTTGCTTACTGGTGCGAAACGCAAAGAATAAGGGAATGACCCCTTACCATAGATACTGAACAGGATCCATTCATATCCATTCCCTCATTCCTTGAGCAAAACCCACCCGCCCACGGACTCCGCGTGAACACACAAAGTGCAACTCCACGGACCTGCCTCTGCCGCCGGAAGGCCTCGAACAAAGGAGGGCGCGGTTTGTCGGGCGCAGGGGATGATGAACATGCCTTTGATTGGCTGGGCTTGTTAACACAGAATCGCCAACAGCTGTTGCAGGATGATCCTGACCCACACTGAAAGAAACACTTCGCCCTCATGTCATGGGAAGTCAGAGCAGCTGGCCTTGTGTTCAGTGCCTCTCCTATCTGGTTGCTGACAGTGTGTTTTTGGTCGTTTGGATTTTGGCTGTTTTGGTACCGCCCCAGTTGTTCGCTCAACAAACAACGGACTCTGCAAGTCTACGGGCAATACTTGTTGATTTTACGTCTGGGCCAGGTCGACAACTCTCCGTGATTTGGGGTGGCAGAACCATGTCAGACATGAGCGGTCAACAAGTCTCCGTGATTTTGGCGAAGAGAACATCTCATTTGAGCGGTGGTCAAAACCCTTTAGCTTACGCGACAGTCTAACATTGAAAATTGGATCATGCGGTTCTTTCATAGAGGTTTTGTCAAAACATCATAAAATATCAATAAAACATCTACTTTGGGGAATGAAGTGCTCTTACAGCACTTTGAACGTCTGCGACAGGTCTGTCATTCCAAAAATGGTGCCGTTGCCGTCCTGACGACTTGCTGAACGGTGGCCTCCAGCAAGGTTCGCCCAAAGCCGTAGGCCTGGCATGGTCCGTCGGCTCCCGGCGGAGCGCATCTTCGGACATACAGGACGAAGTTTCTACACCTGAAATCAGTCACGAAAAAGAGTCATATATAGAGTCTATGTGTTGCATTTGGTGGTTTGATGATACTGACTGGAAAAAGAGGTAGTGTCAATTTTGGATGACTGAGGGTCATTTTATTGAAAACAGTGAGAAACTCAAATTGAAGGGAATAACTTTTAGGATTTCCTCGGCTGTACTGGCAAGGATTTCCCAATTTGGCATCTTCCAGGAACCCAAAAAGTCCGGCATCTGGAGTGTGATATTATGCTTAGCTCAACCATAGCGTCCTTATTCCAACTTCTTTGACCTTCAGCTCGCTTTATTTGCTTGGTGCCTGAGTGAACCGGCGCTTGCTCGCCGCAGCCTTTCTCTTGGGTTTGGGTATCTTGGAGGCTCCTTAGTTGGCTGCAGGAAACAGCAGGAAAGAACTAAGGTATGGGCTGCGGCGCCGAGCGAGCGGAGTACTAAGTGGATGAATCCATTGACTGTCAGAACAACACTATATAAATTATGCCAGGATCATCCTGTCTGGGTGTCCAATAGACTACCTTACCCTACTTACAGGTCTCCATTGGGCACCCGTTGGAAGCGCTAGGTAAACAATTTTTCATGCGTGGGACACATCCAAACAATGACTTCAATGCAAGAACTGACTGGGAATTCTGCATAATGAATTGATCATCAACAAAAACATGCAATCCCTCCTTGCAGAATGAAGGAAGACCATCAGTGTTTGCGGGGTGATCATTCACATCTTCATACCACTCTGGAGAAGCAGTTGGGCCATCCACTTCGTTGAGAATATCTTGGATCCCAAGTTCAAGGGTGGCCTTGGTGAACTTTGCCCTCTGTCTTTTGCGTTTCTGGGTTGTAGCTATATATATATACAAGTCCCAACTGCGGTGCCCAACAAATATTTCGATGATGGTGAAGGAGGGCACACAAAGAAGGTGATCCTGTACGGAGACGGAGGACAAGAAATATCAAAGCATCAAAGCTTGTTGTTAGCTTGGCCTTCTTAGCAGGAGCACACGTATGACATATGATGAAATATCAGTGGGGGATATGGGTGCGCCACCGATACGCCAATATCCAGCGGCATATACTAGGCTCGCTGCCGATACGCGGATATCCCCAAGAAAGAGATCGGTACGCCGCAAATACACCGATATCCCAGGGGAGGGGATATGGGTCGTGGACTGTCTCTTCAGGTATACACAGGGGTGTTGAAACCACAGAGTCACAGGTCCAAGGAATTTCGAAGACTACACAGACTGACCCAAAGAGTTTGCTTGGAATACCGTCGTTTCTCACCTGCTGACCCGGTGGATTGCACATCTCGAAAGCAAGTGTGCAAGAAGGCCTCGCAAATGTTTTGTAAGGTGGCCACGGACGGGTGCTCATGTTTTGCAACAGGCCTTTACATGTTTCACCTTTCCTGGATTCTTGCAGCCAAAGACTCCACTGCAAGTGTTGCTTGCTGGTCTTGCCTCCTGTGCAGCCTGTGGACCTTGTTCGCTTGAGAGGCAGAACAGTGGGAGGGTAGCTCAGTAATCTTTTCTTGCAGGACTGAACTTAAATGAACTTGCATGGTGCAAAGATACTTTCATGGTGCAAAGATCGTGCGATAGTCATTGATATACTAATTACTGGGGTACAGGCTGCGATAGCTATCGCACTGAGATGTTCCAAGAGAGCTTTAAGTGACCTGAAAAAGGACCCGTCACCTGGGGTACCTATAAGATCCTATAAGTGATTACTCAGTCTATAGGGTTTCTTCAACCACTGTTGGCTCATTCATCAGTCGAACTCCTTCGCAATCGAACTCCCTCTGGGCGCCCCGACGCACGTCCGACGGACCCGACCCTCTGGGGGATGGGGCTTGACCCTCCTGTGGGCAGCTTGGGCCTTGGCAAGGGAAGGCACACAGAATCGGAGTTGACTTTGGACTTTCTGGTGATCACCAAATGACCCAGACCACTGCAACTCTACAGCAAGCAAATGACCTTGCTGGCACGATGAAGAAACGATGACCAAACTTTGTTTCGATCCATTTGCTGAGTCGGCCCTCACCTTTTATCTATTTCCATGCCGCGGCTTTCATGCATCGTATCTATTGTCACATAATCTGGTCATATCAAAAGGGTGTGCAAGGCGTGTATAGGCGGTGTGTCTCAACTGATGTGAGAAACAACGAATCTACAAATCTGATCACAGATCTCGGATCTCGCGTTTGGTAGAGAAACCCGGTGTTGAATGCTGCGTTCATCCATTCTGTGTGGCTTCGAACCCAAACCCTGACGAGGTGTTCATTTTCACCACACTCCAACTCCAAAGGGCTCCAAGGGGGTGAGCGGCGAAATGTGAAATGCCGTTCTTATCCGTTCTTCTCATTCGGGGGAGGAGCCTCATGTCCCCTGGGCAGCTTGGTCCACGGGGAGGATGTTGCAAAGAAATGAGAGGAGTCGTGCTCACTACTCTTACCCTCATGACCCGTTCTGCCCATATTCAATGGAGTCTTCGAACTCCTTTTTGAGGTGAAGAAGGCAAAAACTGCTGGAGCCGCCAGCCATTGTCGGCTATTGTCACAATTCTCAAGCTGATTGACATAACCATCTTCTCACCCCAGGTATCCCCAGGTTCTTCAACCCCCCTTCATGGCACAGTCCCCACTCTCTCCGAGCGATGCCGTGTCCAAGCGACGTGTGGCCGCGACACCACGAAACCTCAGTGGCTGGGTCACAGTCGGACCGGACGCGTGATCGCCATGGTCGGAACAAAGGGGATGGGGTCGCCATGTTTTGTGAGTTTTGAGCACTTGAAAACCAAGAAATTGCACATCCCAGAAGTGGTCGCAGCTGCCTTTACAAGAATAACTTTGACACAGTGCCTCATATAGGAATATAAGGAATATAAAACTTTTCAACAATGTGACAAAGTGACACACACACACACATTAAACAACAAAAAACACACACTGTCAAAACCAGATCAACACATGCCAGAAACTAAACATGAATCCAAGATGAAATATATACAGTATATCTTTCAATCTAGATTGTCAAATATCTGCCCTACGCCTGACAAAAACAGTGACGGCACGTCAAGACCTAGCTGTAGGAGATCAAAGACAGTTCGGGCCTTTGCTAGAGGCCTAGCAGCTAGAGCCAGTAGGGCTTTCCTTTGTTTCCCACTCACAAAAAAGCGATGGTCGCCCCAAAAGAGAATAGACTTAAGGCAAGCCCCAAAAAGCACGGTAATGACCACTGCACATTCACACACCGATAGGAAGTCATTCCGTCATTCGGCCTATCGCCTCTACTGCTCTACGTTCAACGTAGGTCTTAAGATGTCAGGCTTTGCCGTATGCGGAATTCGACCCAATTCGATGTGGGCTGTTTGGGTCACCAGCAACTCACCAGCAGTTCATGGTCCTACGGTTAGATGATTGGCCTCCATAGAAGGCCCTGCGCCCACACTTCAGCTGCTGATCCCGCAAACTCGCAAAGCGCCTACACTTCGTAAGCAAGACTGTGCGCAACCATTGACGTTTTGCACCACGACCGTCACCTCTCACCACTAGCGTCACCGCGCAACGCGCAACCATTGCAGAAGCGGACACTGTCAACTTCAATTCAGGAAGCCAGTAAACCCACTATGTAAAAGGGCACATGTGTAAGGGAAATCTGTATCATATGATATCATATTCTGCTATTCCGATTTATGTGAAAACGAGACAGTGAACATCAGTAAACATCAATTTCAAACTGGTGTTAAACAAAAAAACACACAACAATAACAATAACAACAAACACACAATAATAACCACGACGGAGTGTGGGTCTGGTCGGCTGGTTTGGGGTGTCACCCTCTAGAGTCCAATGAACTGGTCCTCCTTGGACATCAACAGTTCTCCATGGCCCCGGCGGAGTGCTCCAAGTTGCACCCTTGGCCACCAGATCACGCCTCGCTCGACAACGACGTGAAGCGCGATGGACGTGATGGATGCGATGACGGCTATCGCAGGTGAAGGACGAACGGATGGACGAGAATCACAAGAAGACCCGCCAGAGCCGGTGGATTGGAGATCAATTTCAGGTGGGAAGCGCTGATTAACTGGGGTCATTTGGTTTCCAGTGGTTCTTCTTGCTCCTTCAAAAATACCAGTTTTTAAGCCAGTATCACTGTATCACTACGTGTAGCATCAAACCTAAGACTAGTGATAACTTTGGGGTACCTAGTTCACTTTGAGAATCACTTGAAACCTCTCTCGTGTGCCGCACGAAAATGAAAAACCGGCCCCTCACTTCAGGGACTGCATGGGACTGCAACGGCTGAGGAACCGCACGCGAGGAGGATCAGCCGTTCCTGGATTTTGGGGCACGCCGACCGGTGCCAGGGATGTCCTACCGATGTCCTGATCTGTCCCAAGGATTGAGTGGATTGAGAGGTTCCATGGCACAAGAAAACCCCAAGGTTGGTAGTTTATATTGGAGCCCCATATATTAAAAACAGAAAACATGTTGGGGTGACAGTGACATCTACGCTATGAAACCCAACATCTACGCTATGAAACCCAACAAAAAAGGCCTTCACCCAAGACCTATGCCGACCTACAGTAGAATAGACCCTTTCAAACGCCAAGCCAAGACGACGACACGCGATGTTCTGCGTAAACCTCATAGCTCGCTCCCGGGAAGAGGCGAGGTCTCGAGCTGCCAGTTTTAGACACTGAAGAAGTGGACATCCCTCAACTAGTGTCTAAATGTTGTCACCTGGGCGTCGAAAGTGTTAGACCTGTCCGCAAGTTGTCAACCTCATCCTCCATTTTGCGGACATTTCAAGTGCGTTCCAATGTCTGCTGCGTTGAGCTAGCTTCCAGTGAGGGGACGGTCTTCTCCGCCCCGGGTCATCTGACAGCCCGTGCCACAGCTGCCACAGCTGTCAGCGCCGCGCAGGCCGCGCGCAGAAGGGGACCAGAGAGCGGACGTCAACATCGCCGCAGACGTGGCTCAAAGGCCAGGTGTTCAGTGCAGCTCATCGCCGCAAGAACACACCGCGCTGTTGTCACGAACCAATTACTGTAACCAGCTGCTCGTGGCGTTGGTATGCCCTTGTCAGCGTGGGCGCGGGATGCTGCAGCCAAAGCGAGCCTCAGCCTTTGCGACGACCTCGTTGATCGTTGGCATGGCTCAAATGGATCACTCGCCAGGACTTGGTTTGTTCTGTTTGAGACACACTCGGACACAACCAACATCGATGAACAGATCTGTTCCCCAAAACACAAGCAACACATGTCTGCTTTCTTTCCAGCCTAATCAATAAATATACCATCACATTTCCCAGCAGTAGTGTCTTCCGCGAAACTTGTTTTGTGTGTTATAATATCAGATATATGTAATATCTACAATGTTTACACGAGAGGACTCTTTTTTGGTTTGGGGTTCTTTATGGTTCTTTCATGTTCTTTCACTCACAAAACATTGAAGTGCACCGTGATGTATACAGGACCACTTGGATGGCACAAAGAAGGACGTGGATCCCGGAGTGGCTTACGCAAGATTGCTCGAGAAACATCGGACGATGAAAGACCACAGCTGTCAACTGTGCCCAACAAGGACCCGCGCCACAGCACTGGACGATTTGGGGGGGGTTTGTCAACAGCGTACGTCTGGAGGCATCTTTTGCAATCTGCTGCATACATCTGGACAAATACGGAAAGAACAACAACTCGAGGAAGCAAATGCCAGGACAACATGGGACGAATCACAACTCCATGTTTCAGGACCTGAAGAGGTGCGAGCGTCGGCTTCAGGACCTCCAGGACCATAACAAGAAACGACCGTGACTCAGCCTGACTCAGCTGGACAACGACTGAGCTCCTTGTTCATGGTCTCGCACGTCAGGGCATACTGCGAGCACCCCATCATGCTGAGCCTCAGGCATGCCCGAGTGCTTGCTTCATACGATTCGCAATTCACCCGTTGGAAGTCAAGCGTGGACATGTTCAACGTGTTGTCTGTCTCGAAACCTCAGCTGCAAATAGATGTCCACACAAAGGCCATGCCTGTGACCCTCAGTTGATACATCAGCCCTTGCACCAGATGACAATTGATGTTCAGGGATGCTGTCAGTGTGCTTTTGGGGGGAAAGCGTGGTAGAAGGGGCCTCCAACACCTCATCTCAGGCTTTAACACAGAAGCGCAAAAAGGCGTGCACAAGAGAGTAAATCGAATGCTGATAAGCCACTAAGCCACCCTGATATTTGGGGTTCCAAAAACCACCCACCAGGCCCCAGGCCCACCGAAAGCCAAAAGCGACGACGTGGCCGCACGGACCGCCACACTGAGACCCAAAGCCATGCCACCAAGTCGTCCTTGCTCACGCGGTGCCACTCCTGGCGTCGAAGAACCCCACTGGGTCGGCAAAAAGTGGCCAAGAAATGCATCTTGTTGACTGCTTCGGTCGCTTCGTAAGACTTGGAGATCCAAATCAATGAGACCTTGGGAATCGGAACAGGGGTCGGTGCATGTCAGTGCGTACACACCGAACATGGTCACGACCGGAGGGATTCCCCCTCGATCAACCAGGCAGTAAAAGGCCATGAATGGTTTGAACAGTATTCTCTGAAAAGCAAAGAACCCAAAGAACGGGTCACACCATTCTGTAACACTCCGGAGTCACACGCCACGTACCGCACAAATTGCACCTCCATTCTTTTGGACACATCTGATATCATCTGATCAACCCTTGTGAAAACAACTCGGGGGCTCAAGAAACTGAACTGCCATGGAAATCAACAACAAACTTGCCAATTTCTTCACCGCACCGTCAAACGGAGTTTCTCGTGCGCACGGACCCTTTGATCATCCAATCAATGTTCCTGCTCTTATGACTCCAGCTCTCAATTCAGGGGTTTGAAGCTGCTGGACTCCCAACCCCGACTACCCCGACCCGCTGTCTTTCGGCACGTGAACACGGGGTCTCCTGCGACTTCACACGCGCATCCAGCTCGCCTGGCGCTGGTCCCACTTCCATGCGACGAGTCGGAGGGGTATCTAGCAGGAGATGTTTGGGGTGTTATATATCTGATCTTTTACCAGTGGACTGGCATCTCGGGGCTTTAAGAACCATTCCGACATAGACCCTCATGGTATAGGAAATTATCATTAAGCTGTTGAGTCATGGTGGCAGTCACAGTGCATAATTCAAGCTACAGTCCACTAATGGGACCAATAACACTGCAAATGAACTTATAATGGAAACAACCTGGGCACCCTTCAGTTCCAAACAAAACAAACACCAGCACGTCATATCATGCATCCGGCAAAAGTGTATGAAGTCACCAATGACGATGGCCATTCGCAAATCACAAACGTCCCCGCCCACGAATGCTGCGTCCCGGCACCGACCGTTTCCGCGGCAGGGACTCGCCGGTCGCGACCGCCATTGTGAGGCCGTGGCCCACTTCAACATGCGACACGTGATTAAAAAATAACAAACATGTTTTGCATATTTCCTGGAAACTTGGACACTATACCTTCAGGAGATGTTTTTCCTTTTCATGTAGTCATCCAGGGAGATCGTGTGATCTTCATGATGTGGTGCGAACATCTCATGGGCCCCCAACTCCTGCATGGTGCTCCGGAGCGTAGCTCCGCTGCAAGACAGGCCAGGCGTGGAAACGTTTCAGTTGTCCGGTCGCTGAAGGATGATCTTCGCTGAAGGATGATCTTTGCTGAAGGATGATCAAATACACAGTCATTGGAAGTGACAGTTTGTTCATGAGGACGGCGCGGTTGAGATGTGGACAGTAATGCGTGCAAATATCTTAAGTTTTACTTTGTTTAAAATAATGTCCAGCATGTACGGCAAATGAACATCAAAATAGTTATATAGGCATGAATATACATGCATCACAATCTGTAGACATCCACAACTATCATTATAATATAACATATTTGTATACCTACCAGGACATAATTGCACCTGCCAGGTTCCATGTCCTTGAATCACATGTTTCTTTACCAGGACCTGTGTCCTTGGATCATATGTATACTTACCATCGAGGGGCCTCCGCTTCTGCAAGTGCCCGTAATTATATATGAATATATATATTATATATAATTGATCAGGACTGACTTAAGGATAAAGCAAGAGCAAAGGAAGGAGTAAACATTGATGACTCGGGGCTCCTCTTTTTGGATCTAAACTCTGACGGCCTAGTTGATCACCAAGGCAGCCACAACAAACCTGCAAATCCTTGACAAAGCAATGGCCACAATTCGATACATGTCTATTGCTTCGTTACCAAGCTTCAACTTCAACCATCTTGAGCTCTTGCGCCAGGCGCCCTCAAACTCTCCGACGCAAGAATATAGACGTGTGATGACTGTGATGACGTGGCTTCGAGCGTCCGGGACATGCGTTGCAGGCGTTGCTCGTGTGAGGTACTTTTTCTTTTCTCGTGTTTGATCCTACTCCGATCTGAATGGCGCCAAAAAAGCCATTCACATCATACAACCGAAACTGAATGTAGAACCAGCGTCGACGGAACCGTGGAGGAAACGGACCATTTGCATCTGAAGCGAATGCATCCACCCCTTCCTCTCTGGTTCCAGTCCCCAACGCACAGCAAACACATGCAAACACCCTGGTATCAGATTGTATCAGCAGGGGATTATGGAGGGGGATCCTATGAAATGAATCTTACATGACGTCACACAAACGACACGAGACTGGCATTCCCACACGACCAGATTTTCACTGCAACATTGGGCGCGTCTCCTGGCGCGCGCGCGCGCGGCGCACACCACGAATTCCACGTGCCTCGCACCGCGTGAAAGACGAACTTCAAGAGCTCGGGTCGTTCCAAAGATCCAGTGGGGAACTTCACGCCCCAACGCTCGCACCTGGCGAAGTGGCTGGGCCAGGGATGGGCGGAGACATGGAGGGGGTGGCTATGGCCACCTCGCAACAAGAAGGTGAGGATTTTGAGATGGGCATGTGTCTAATCACTACTCTCCTACTCGTGAGAGGATCTAGCAATCCTGCTATTCAGAAGGAAGGATTGAAAAAACACCAAGCCACTGGCTGCGTCATGGATTACTATTGATCCTGTTTAATTGATGGGGACTCATAGATTTCATGACTTCGAGAAGGGTTACGCCTGAAAGAGAGTTCGAAAGAAACACGATTGTAAGCTGGCCTGCTGGCGCTGACTCTGCCCTTTTTGACCTCAAAGCCTAGACGAAGGTGCTGCCTGATCTAAACACCATATACCAGGGCTGACAAGGGGGTGGTTCATGGACACCCCACAGAACCTCTACAGAAAGGCCTAATTATCGCTAGAAACCCCAAACAGGGGGTCCTGGTATGTCCGACTCACTCACAAACGGATGAACATGGATGCGAGTGAGTTCGAGTGTACAAATAGACCCCAAACAAATGATCTAGTCGATCCAGTCGAGATCAGCTCCGTCAGCCGCGCGGCTCGCGTCGCAGCTCCGTGATCTTCGCACTGTTGCGGTCCTCGGTTCCAGGATGAACACAGCCGGACGGGCCAATTTGAGCGTCTCAAAACATGTCAAGTGTGTCAGACCAAAACAATCACGTATGCAATTGAAGTAAATAGACCATGCACACATGTTGTGGTGTTCTTTCCGCTCGATTTGTTTTGTTCCGCGACCTTTCGAATGACTAACTCGTCGTTTTCTCTCCGGCCCAAAATGATCGTTTCTGGGCAAACAACATTTCCCTCTGGAAACTGAACTTCACCGCGCATGCGCATCCCACCTCCGTCATCTCCAAGAGCTGGCTGAGAGAGCTACAAACCTCAGGCCGCTGTGAGATGAAACGAGCTTCTCAGGTGCTTCAAGAGCTTTTCGTGTCTTATAAACCTGATGGTCAAAACCAGCTTGTTTTCTTGTTAAACAATATTCCGAAGATCGAACACTGGCGGCGTTTTGATTCATTGAGGGCTAAGGCTATCACTGTTTCGATCGCAAAGAAAAACATGACACTTCTCATGTCCTTCAACGTCAGGTGGACGAAGGACTTGCATTGAAAAGGATCAAGTCCTGAAGAATGTGAGAGTGACATATGAGATTAATCTTTTTTGGTTGGTGTGTGAAAGGCTCCAAGGGGTCCAGCCACCAAATACAACTATGTGACAATGTGGTAGAATTATTTCAAAACAACTACAGAGTCAAATAGATATAGATATATTATATATAATATATATATATATATACTGTAGGGAAAAAAGGGGCATGCGTGATTTTGGCGGTGCCAAAGGTGCTCAATTCAGTGGAAACGATGCTGGCATCCAAGACTGACCCCAGATGGGGATGAGCCGTTGAACCCGACAGCCGATGCAATCCGCCCTCCAAAGCTGACTACCTGCAAGACTTCTGACTTCGAGGAAATTCCCTGCATGTGCCAAATGAATTTTCGTATACAAGACATACTGTGACAGGCCTGGAGAGGGGGGGCGCGAAAAGACGACATGCCAGTCTGGAAGCAATGTCCAAAGGTCGTAAAAACACGACGCAGTCATACCTGAAGTTGTGCAAACCAAAGTAGTATATCTTGGCTTTTGTCCGTTTTGCTACACACCAAAACAAACACAACTGTCATTTTGCTTGCAAGTAAGTAGCCGTCGAGGTCGTCCTTGCTGCCTGACTCGGCATACGTAGTTGCGGTGCCTGTGACTGCTTGATGAGGTCAAGTCACTGGATCAAGTAACAAATGATCTGAAAGTTACAGGTACCTGGACTTGCGACTTCCGGCGAAGGACAGTCTGTGAGCCAAGTCGAACGCGGTCCAACATGGGTAGTGGTCGAACAGCCCCTTTCGATCAAAACAGGCTCCACGCCATGCAACCGCCAACATCCGATCAAGATCCGACATCAGCTAAAAGAGCGCGCACACAGGGAAACATGCATGCAAGGCCTGTCAAGTTGGGGAATGGGACGATGAACATGTCTACCACGGTCTAGCCTTATAATACCAGTTTCTATGCGTTCTATCGTTTGTATATATATAATATAAATATAATATATATAATATATAATATGTAATATGTGTCTTGCGAGTATCGCCCAGCTTGGATCCTGTAGATATGTGTCGTGGTTGATACCATGTGGGGTCTCAAGCGACGACGAGTCTCCGAATAGAGAACCACCCAAACAGGAACGGGGGATATGTTTTTGAACGATGAAAGATCGTCCACGAGGCTCTTGCTTCTGATCTGTGGACACCACCTGCAACTACAAACTGATTGTTGTGGCAGTTTCAAAGGATGGGCACTTTGGATGAGGAACATCCAGAAACAAAAACAAAACTCAGCTCTTTTCCGTGTGAAAAAGCCTCTGACACTCCGTGGCCTGGCTTAATCCAAGGGTGGTGCCAAGGGTGGTCCTAGTCCTAGATCATCCTAGTCCTGTCTCTGCGCAGGAGAACGCGGTGTCTAGGCCTGCGAGAACGCTGTGTCCAGATAGAGGTCGTAGGCGCGCCGTGCATGGGTCTTTGAGAGGGTCTCCCACGCCTGGGCCAGTCGAGACCCGATACGAAAAAGGGCTCGGAAAGTGTATGACTTCCGGTGCTATGACATGACTGCAAGCAGAATTCTAGCTATATGGACCCTGAAACAAAGAACTCAAGTAAAAAAAGGACCCTTTGAAGCACATATAGAGGGGTCCGTGCCTCCCAGACAGAGACATACCTTTCGGCCAGGCCCAGACCCAAGGTCTACAGCTGCTGAAGGTGGGTAGCTGTGCGGATGTATCCATGTGCACATCTCTCCGGTCACCAATCGAATGCATCATGTAACCACAGTAGACCAAACAGCTTCTCAAGTACTCTATCGAGCCCAAAGATCATTGTTGGGGAGCTCTATATCTGCAGAATGAACTGAGGTCATGTTGACTTTTCTGGATGCTACCCAGGAAAAGCTTCGCCAAAGGAACGACAAGCTCGTCCCTGTTCATCTTCACGACTTCGTCGTTTCACAGACCACCACAAACACCGGGCTCATGAAACTTCCAGTCGATGTCCGCACCGGGGTAGGGCTAGGGATGGGGGAAGGATTTTTTGGAGGATTTGAATTCCCTTTTCATTTCTTCCTTTCAATCACCGTGAATTCCCCCAAAAGAGTGGACACCGTGGACACCTCGCTCGCGCACACCGGTGTGCCGGTCGGTCCTCGTTGATGCGGATGAAGCGCAAGGCTGCATCCGGCGCAGAGCCTGGGCGCATGGCGTGCGGAGGGAAGGGTGAAGAGCTTGAACAGCAGCCCAACACCACCCACTCTGGGTGGTGTGTAGATCCTTCGGACATCCCTGACGGATCCTGACGGATTTTCCATCCAAGCGCCACCCAAACTGGGTGCCAGCAGGTTGCATTCGGAGGTGAAGTGAGTCCCAAGTCTGATTCTGCTTCTGTTTGCCGGCTGTTCTCGCGCATTACTTCACTGGAGGTTGACAGATCAACGAAATGTGGAAGAATTACCTGGAAAATCCACAGATCCACCAAAGCTCAATACCAATATGTGTCCTTTTGTCGTATTGAGCCAAACCAACAAACCAATCTACGAACGACGTGAAGCAATTCACTTGCTTGGCATCAGTAGAGAGTGTCAGCCAGCCAGCTTTTTGACTTGACGGGTTGAGGTTAAAGGGTCTACAACACGTGGCAAAGCAAAATGTCCAAGTTCCTTGATGCCAAACAGCTTTTAGGACCCTTGCAAAGGCGCCTTCAAAAACAAATACTAAACCTTTCCCCGGCAAAGCTCAAGTACGTAGTTCTCAACGGCCAAATTCTTCATCATGACACATTCCTCATCCTTCGCCCATCTTCACTGTTGAGCACTGGTGCATTTGTCCGGATGCAACTGACGTGCCTGGCCGCCGGTCAAGTCTCACCAGTGTCGAACAGGCAAGCACAGTCGAAACCTATGTTAGGCAAACGAGATTTTGTGCAGCGATTGAAACAAACAGGGATGGTATTGGCAACATTTGGCAACTGGGATTCCGGAAAAATGAATAAACATAATTTACTGTCATCGAGTTGCCCATTTTCCAAAACGGCACTGGTACTACGACTTCAGCGCCAGTCCCTGACAGCCGTGGTCAAAATGTGAAACAATCCTGGGAAGAGTGGGAAATTCAAGGCTTAGAGCAACTTCCTGTGGAAGGGTGTCCAAAAAGGTATCTACCATCAAGATCCATCACTCACAAAACCCTTGACCTAAGGACCTAAGGGGCTAAAAGAATATACAACTAGACATCCCTACAGAATGGGCCCTGGTCGTTGTCTCCACGTTTTCTCACTTTGACCGTTGTCTCCATGTTTTCGCCTAGTTCCAAGCGTCATCGCTCCGTGAGAAAAGTGTGGCGGGCTCACCAGTTCCAGATAGGCGCGCCGCACTTCGTGTGCTGTAGCGGTACGGGCCACGCCCAGCTGCTGGTAGTGGGACCTTCTCAGCGGGCCAAAACACCCGTCGACGGGTGGACGGGTGGTTTCTGTGGTCGACGGGCGGGTGAGGAAATTGAAAGTGGAAGAGAAACGGCAGCGGGATCAGTCATCCCAAGTAAATGGTTGAACGGTTAAAACCGTTGAAAAAAAAACACATATATGCTTTCAGATGTGACTGTTGAACTGTTGAACATACAAATATCTGAAAGCACCACAGCAGGTTTGTATTGAAACAAGTGGGACCCTCTGGGCCCAAATGGGTAGACTAGACTGGTCCGGGCCCTCTTGCACTAACAACATGCTTGCGCGTTCTGCATCCTAGAATCTTCGTAGATACAATATAAAGGGAACCAATCCAAAAACAATCAGAAAACATGATCCCGACATCCTATTGTTTGTTCCCCCTACAGTATATTTCATCTACTCCAGGATGAGGATTCAACACTTATAGCGTGACAATACACTGGAACCTGGGCACTGGCAATCCAGGAGTGAAAAACCACAAACATCGGTGCCTTCCCCGGTGGAAGCGAACTCAGCCACTTATTATGTGGAAGCGCAGCAAGTTCCCACGAAAAATGACCACTCATAATCCTATATATAGTTTTACGTGTATATATATATATATGTTACATTTCACAATATGTTAGGTAATATATATATATATATATATTATATACACATACAAAATTACACGCATCATATCATTACAGGATATATTCTGTTCCTTGGTGGGGCAAACCAACGGCTGCTTGTGCCTTCACCGTGTTGAGGCGTCACCTCAGATCCATCGACATCCTGTGACGTGACTCGGGGCCATGAAGCCATCCGGGAACCAAAAATGAAGCCATCACTCCTTTTGATGGTTGACCATTGGGGCTGCTTCCTGACGGCGGCATGGCCTTCGGATGTGGAAAGAGACTCACTGAGGTGAAGGTGGCCTGAAGCCATGCCTGCGAAGCCAGCTCTGCCTTCGCCGCAACGCATATTTCTTGTCACTCGCTGACCCACAACTGGAAAGTCACTAACCTCAGATGGTCGCCACGGTCGGCACGGTGTGTAAGAGAGGATTGGCTGGAGCACCAGCACGAGTGGAGGCCTGAATACGTGACGCAGCACGCCCAACTCATGAGCGCTCTGTCTGCCTCTGGCACTGCTCTAATTCAGAAGTGATCTCTCAACACGCATGGCTCAAATCACCGAGCTGCTGTCGCCAAAAATTGCCTGGGCCCAGGCCCAATGCGGATGAGCCACTGCCATGGATGCAAGGCCCTGCCATGGGTCTCGCTTTTTTTCCCCGCAGGACATGGTCTCACTTCCTGAAACAATGATGGTTATGTGGATGGCAAACGGTCCCTGAGGAAAGACCCTGAGTCGTCCGAAGACCAAGCCGGGGTGAACTCCACTTCCATGTTGTCTTTTTTTCTCAATTTGTTAGTTATACAGCTTAGACATGAATTAGTTTTGTTCACTTCCATGTTATATAGTTTAGGAGGTACTTTTGTTCCAGTTCTTTTTTGCCCGGTTGCTCCCTATGGAGTTTGAAGGCCCCCATTAGTGTAGTCCCCTGGTGCCTCGAGGGCGTGGGGTTATCTTGGCTTTAGTTTAGCTCTGGTTTATAAAGTTTGACTTGGCTTGGCTTCAAAACGATGGAGGAGGCTGGGGGAGGGCACAGCACCTTCCCCCAAGAGGAAACCAAGTGCCAAGCCACCGCAAAGCTACAAAATGCAATAAACAAAATAATTATCAAAACCAAACCTGGCCATCAAAATCCAACGAAATCCACGAGAACTAATAGCAAGCCATCAAAAAACAAACCACCCCAGAGCCATACAAGCCACCAAAAAGCCAAAAGCCACACAAGCCAGACAAGACCGAAGTCACAGAAGCCAGCGAAGCCAACTCCACAGAAGCTTGAAACCCCAAAAGCCACGGAAGCATCGGGTAGGAAAAACAACAAAACAAACAAAATCCAAACAAACCAATTGCTCTCGGGTCCCTCTCGACTTCTTTCGTTCCATCGCAGAGGCCCGACCCCGCTCGTCCCCCCGCTGGAGATCCCCCACAGGCCGCTGGAGACCTGGACCATCGCGTGGGACTCACAGACCAGAGAACCAACCGCTGGTTTCGGAACCGGACGGCCAACGGATGTTTCAGGTCCTTTCGGATGTAAACATGGTTTCAAAGCCATGAAAACATAGGTTCAAACACTTTAAGTCAACATTTTAAAAGAACACACAAAACGACGACGCCTCCCAGGAGGAGCCGTATGGCTTCCAACAAAACAACAAAAGGGTGAGGTGATACATGTGTGGCTCCAAAGGAGCATTTCTTGTTGCATCCGTTGAAAGGAAGCCTGCAGGAAAAGGCTGTCAACATGCAACAAGTACTTATGGGAAGCTCAAATTTCAGCTGTCAACTATTGCACACGCGGGCTAAGCCAAGCCTTTTCTTGGCAGGCTAAGCTTACAGGGTGGGTTCAACACTGTTATAGACCCAAACCCTGGTAGTTTATGAGAAGTCACGTGCATCTCGTGAAGCAAGAGTGTATGTATGCGAATCCAACTTGTTTTTGTTTGAATCTCTCTCTCTCTCTCTCTGTTCGCTTCCAAGTATCTCAGCAAGCAGGACCCGGGTCCCCACTCATGCACTCCACCTATTATCTCATGCGATTCGATCCATCAAAAAGGATCGAAAAGGCATGTCGGCATGTCTCAATAGGGCTGCAGGACCACTGCAAGATGCTTAATAATCCTTCTAAGATCTAAGAAATCTCTCAATAATGGATGCCAAGCGACCCTGAACACGACTAAGAACCCCCTCCCCTCCGCCATGCGACCCTCGCTCTGACGACACCCTGATGCCGCCTCGAAGCCAGCCATGGCCCTTTTAGGCCGACAGAAGGGTTTGACGTCCCGGGCCCAATTGACATCCCTTGGGCTGCATGAGAAAAGCGATAAATTTTCCGAACCAAAAATCACTCTAACCCAGTTAGACGACACGTCTGGGACTGCCATAGGACTGCCGCCCCATTGACCCCCCTGGCACCACCCCAACTGATCGGCATATGGCATACATGGAGTCTTTGGGTAATTATGTGGGAATAGCGACCATGGGACTTTTCCATGATAATCCTGTAGAACAACGCTCTGAAAGCTAATGAATCCGGGAAATGCCGTTGCTTTGGAGTCTTTTTGTACGGATCTCTTTGGGTCGTTGCGCGGTGCCGACGAATGGGAGAAGTTCGGTTGAGATCGCGACAGAAAAGAACGGCCAATGTTGGCCAATGCATCACCATGTCGACTATCTATATTCACCTGCAGTTTTGAAGGACCTGCAGCAGAATGACATTCACCAATTCCAGAACGACAGTCCTTATACAAAGGCAAACAAACCACCATTGCTTCTTCATCTACCATCCTCCTTAACATTCCTGACCCCAGAAGACTGACCTTGGTCGTACCAGTGACCAGTGACCTCACCAAGTAGGCTGACACCCACACCTTCCCTTATAACCAATGGTGTGAACGTGTTCTAAGCCCTGAGACCGTGACACCTTCGAAAAGACCACTGTTGGCCGCACCCCCCACCTCCGGACGACGCCGCACGACCGCGGCGGCGCCGGGGTCTTTCAATGACCCCGGCGCCGACGGGCAATGGGCCTTCGACGCCCATGAATTCACTGAGCCGAGAGGATGCGTTCAGCGATGGAGCACAGGCCAGGGCGAGTGTGGGAGGCTCGATCCGGCCGGTGAAGCATGCTGAAACCAACGAAAAGACAGCATATCTGAACCCCCCAACAAAAAGATTCTGGCCATGGGCCTTCATTGAAGCGCATGCCTGTTTGGTGAAATCACCAGGAAAGCGGAAAGGTGCACAGTAGTTCTAGGCTGGTGTTCTTGGGATCCTGTCTTCTGGTCATTGGATGAGGTACCTCTGAAGCAGAAGACGCAAACCCGCATCAGGTTTTTGTAAGAGGATCTTCAACAAACTTCACACCAACCCACATGTGTCATTATGTGCATCAAAGCTACCGGAGGTTGTGACAAGGGCTTGTATGAACTGCCAAACAATGTCCCTAAACTCCAAGTGCATCCTGAGAAAGTACTAACTTATATCAAACATCTTAGCACTTTGTTTTCTTGCTCAAAGCATCTTGTCAGGAAGTAGTCGCAACTACAGGAGCACGAACCAGGGATGGATCTTCTCTGAGTTGCGATGAACTATTAAACAGTGGTCTGGCTTATAAGAAACTGGTTGGCAAGTGAAACCAGTGCTTGCAAGTGGCAGGTAGTAATAGTTGTTGTTGATCAAGCCTCTGAATGCACTTCCCCTACGACCAATTGCCGAAGAGCTTGTGATATTGTCTATGGTTCTGATTTTCCGGACGCCCACCTTCCGAGATGAAGTCAACCCTTCCCGACAGTGGATGGGTTGCCCTATAGATGTCGATGTCCAACATGTCCAACCCTTTTGTTGACCAACCATCAGCACTTTCGGATTTATGGCTATCTCCCCGAAATCGGGATCCAGTCGTACCGAACCTCAGGTTCGGTACGACCGGACTCGACTGGCTGGACACAACAGTGTCGAACACATCACCTTAAAGGGTATCACATACCCAATGTGGATCCTTCGGGCTTTTCGGGAATCGATGAAACCACGGCTTTTTCTCCCCGTCGGCCGCACGAAGGCTTCAGATCTGCTCAGGCTTCACGCGTCGCCCGGCGATCCGGAGGGGATGGTTTGAGTGAAGTTCAAGGGTGATTGGCGACAGGAGATGCAAACATACACATATATATGGATGGAAGTGATGACATTTACAAATTCTGTGATTTGGGGATATTTTTGGTGGATATGGTCAATACCATGAAATCCAGTCGAAGGGCCGGCTTAGTGGTACGCCACATAACTAGACTTCTCACCCTAGACTTCTCTCAGCTCACTGAACTCATCTCAATGCTCCCAGCATCTTCTGCAGGCTTTGCATGCCCGAAGACCCAGAGATGCCCTGACCGCGACACTGGTCCGGCGTGTTCCGATGCGTGAACGTGTCCGGCGTGTTTCGCAGTTGGAAACTGCCCCGGGTGGTTGGAACAGTTCCAGAACACTGAGTGCAGAGTGTGGCCTGGTGTTTCCAGGGAAAAAGATCTGCCCACTCTGAAACTGTGGAGCTGGTCCTGGTGGTCCAGGTGCCTGACCCATGGATTGGTTGAGAAGGGAGAATCTGAAGGAACCCATGTGTTTTCACTATAAAGCAATGGCTTTCCTGTAGATGTTCGGTTGACACAATTCTGATAATGAATGAAAGCCATGAAAGCTTTTCAAAGACCAAGCATAACACCACCTGATGTGAAGCGCAAAAGGTTCCGCTGCGGGCTTCACCACGGCCATGGATCACCGCAGTTTGGATCGGGGCAAAAACACCAGTGTCTTCGAAGTTTGTCATCCCTTTTGCAGTCAAAACATCGGATCTTTTGACAAACATATGCATGAACTAGATCCAGGGGTCACAAAGGGGTGCCGAACTTGGAGGTTAGGGGTGCCCAGCTACTCCACTCACAAAGGGGACCAAACACCACTCCGAGCTCTGTGACTCCTGATAGATCTATTTAAAGAGCCAAGCGTCTGTGCCGTCTGTGCCCGATGTCTTTTTTTCCCAAGTCTCGGGATGTGAAAGCCACTGACATCGGGTCCTTCCGTATGATACATCGGTTCCGTTTCCCAAACAACGGCTTCACCGAAGGCGCGGCGCGAGATAACCTGTTGGTGTTGATGTTGGGGGTGAAACACCCCCATTCTCCAAACATGCTTTAGATCGAACAGTAGTCCTCTCCAAAGAGACAGCAGCCGGCTCTGTCGGCTTGGGACGAGAGGAGATTGGGTCAGCCCGGCCCGCCGATGGGCATCTGGTTTTGGAGGGAGTACAAAGGGGGTTCCATAGCTAAATCTGTTCAAGTCTTGTTTACTCCACATGTAAGAAACAAGAAACTACTCCAAACCACGGGCTTGAAATTACCAGCTCCTGGATTTGCACTCACAGTGTAGCTTGGAGGTGTTTACAAAAACCGCAGGTGGAAATTCAATGCTCTACCCCCCAAGAAACATCTGAAGGTATCTGGGGGTATGGTTTTTCATGGTTTTTCAGGCCCTGACCCTTTACAACTGTTACTGTGGGGGGGGGGCAGGGTCAAACCAGTCATCCACTCCGAAATCGGGAGACCGAACCGCCGGCGGGCAACGACCCCATGGAAGGTTCGGAAAGTAGAGCAGTCCGAACCAGCCAGGGGTCTCCGGGGTCTCCAAATACACACCCATGCAGATCTTCTCATGTACTCAAAAGCAAAAATATCCCAAGCTCCCAAAGGATCTGCAGAACCTAAAACTTGCATCCGCAAGCCAAATGCAAGTTTGAATTTGTTAGTTTGCATCCTTTTGGACTCTTGGGATGATTTCCATGACCCGGTGTTCTTCTTCAATCCTATGCAGCCCAAGTATGAAAATACACCGTCTTTGTTCTTCCCCTCCCAAAACGACCTCGCTTGTACTGTGTGACTCATCCCACATCCCGTGTCGCTCAACACCATTGAATCGTATACCGTCAAAGGCCTTCAGGAGTGCCCGGGTCTTCCGATTGGCGTCTACCTGACAAACCCCGATTCTGCAGCGGTCGGAGATGCGGTCGAGACCTGGAAGATTAGGTTCTTTGAAAGTGGATTGATTGGGTATGATTATAGGGATAAAAGGTCATATCTTGGGCTCACATACACATCACACACTACAATTGAAGGGTTGGGGCCTTGGAGGTTGGGAACAAAGGGGGAGAGTGAGTTGAGTTGCGATTTGGATCTCACAAGTCTCAAGGGCGTGGAACGCTGTTGGGATGAGCAGCCAACGTGGGTGGTGGTCAAAGGGTGGAATGGGTGACGTTTCTCGGACCAGAAGCCGAAGGAGTTGCCAAGGCTCAAGGGTTCTTCAACTCTGAATGAAAAGAACTCATCTAAATTAGACATTCCGAAAAATGGGCATTTTACAAATGGTGTACGGTTGGTATTCCATAATTTTGGGGCGGGATACAGGCGGTCGGCGGTACATGGAATATGTGCAGGGTTGGTGTGTATACGGTTGATCTACGTATGGTCCAAAGCGGGATATTGCTGAATTCTTAGTCTACGGATGCCCTGACCTTCAACCCCAAGCTTCATAGAAAACCAGCTGTGCCATGTCTTATAAAGTAGTGCTTTGCCTGTGACTTTTGTTGAAGGTTTTTGGGAGAAAACAAGCGGGGCCGAGCACCATGTCCCGAGCTGTCCCAGTCCCGCGCGTTGGGGCGCCTCCAGCGCTTTTTGGTCCCAGCGAGGCCCCAGAGCTTTGGAGAGCCCCTCCGCTGCTTCCTTCGAACGAAGCGGAAGCCGGGCTTGCCGAACAAAGCCAACGCTGAACGAAATATGGAAGGTCCTGGTGTGATAACTGATAATGGTAATATGATGTAATATGGCATCTGGAGATCTACACACCCCAAGGCACCGAAGACGCTGGAGACTGGGTCATATGCCCGACCGTGCGAAGCCGTGAAGCAGCGAGCGATACGTGACACGGTTGCGGCGAGTTCTTCAAGTGTTTTTGGCCGGGGCGAGTTCTTCTACGTCAGGTCAACTACTGCGAAACTTCAAAGTCAGAGGTGCTTCACCCATCAGTTTGGGGTTGCCTCATGTCAGCTACCAGTGGCAGTGGCGGACGCCGGCACACACACCATTGAAGAGGTAGAACATGACGCCGGCATGCGATGTAGTCTGTCACTGTAGGACCTGCTGGTTTAAAAACATATTCTACATGTAAACCTTGGACACCCTTCGACCTCTTTAGGCCAAAGCGATCTCTT